CAGGCTGTGCTTTCAGCCTCCAATCTGTGACTCTCCCCCTGCACACAGATGTTGATCTGTCTGATGCCGCGTTCACCGTCAGGACAGACATGCAACAGCTTGCTGCTCCTAATCTGTCTCTTTATGCCAAGAAGTGCAGCAAGTCAGGGTGAAAGTGGTTGAAGAATTGACTTCAAGAAGCTAGACTAGTTCATTCAGCCTTACCCACCAAACAGCGAAAGTTCTTTATATTCTTGGTGCCACCAACCTTTTCTATAGCTTTCTTTTTTGGAATACTCTGTAAGCCTGTTTGTTTTCTTTTATTTTCTGATTTTGTTTCACTTTATGTTTTCATTTCATTCACACTTAGATAAACCACAGTATTATAAAAGGCAACACGTAGATCTTTTTTGTTTTCAAATTACATTTATTCAGGTTATATCTGTGCAACAAATTATTAATGTAGCTGTTTTTTTTTATCTGAAATATTCTGATTATATTTATTAGGGATGCACGATATTGGGATTTTGGCCGATATCCGATATGCCGATATTTTAAAACTCATGTAGCCGATAACCGATATCGATACCGATGTTAAAGCTGGACAAAAATAAGTAGTCATTGAAAATAGCAGTTTTGTTATCCATTTCTGACACTTTGAAAAACAATATACTCAAATATATTTTCATATGCTGATATCAAATTGTTTTTAAAAACGTGGTATCGATCTATTTTACTTTCAAAATCTCGTGAAATTTCATCGTTCTGTTACAAACTCTCGTGATATTTTGCAAATTCTCGTGAGATTTTGTCAGTAAAATAGATCGATACCGCGTCAATATATCAACATATAAAAATATGGCAAAATTTTATGAATTTTCGGGGGATTTCGTAGCATAACGATGACATATAGCAATATTTCATTAGTATAAGAGATTGATATGGTGTTTTTAAATGGCAATATATCACCATATGAAGATATTGTCATATTTTAATGTATCAATATTTTTTCCCTCGTCTTTAGAAGTTTTTAAGTCTGTAAAAAAGAAGTTTTTGAGGGAAGAAGAATTTTTTTTTTTTTTTTTTTTAGACTTTAGAAACTCAGAAGCTGGTTAAATATCGGTGGGGTGGCCGATGTCCGATATTCAGTTTTAAGGCCGATACCGATAGGGGGCCGATTATATCGTGCTTCCCTAATATTTATATAATTTCAACAAATCTATGGCAGAATATCCTTTAATTAAATTGATCCACATGTGTGAAGAAGAGAGATTTATCTTTTACTTTTAGCACCAATTTATTCTGACTTGAATTTGAGAAAATATCTATAGATTAGGGTGATTGCAGGGGGACCTTTTAGCTTAATCACCAAAGATAAATTGTCAAAGAACTAGTCAAGATATGCAGAAAGCTTCCCAGTGGTCGGATTTCTGTCATTTGATTATGGCTAAGGGTTTCACTGTAAAAACGATCTACAAATAAGTAAAAATTTCATAAATTAAGTGTATTTACCCTTGATTTGAATAGGTAAATGAGATAGATTGCCAATGGAATCAGTATTTTTACTCTTAAAATAAGATAATAATATAATATTCACTTGAAATAAGACAATGTTATTGTGTTTTCTTATTTTAAATTTAAATTGTCTTGTTCCATTGGCAAGATGTCTCTTTTATCTCCTCAATTCAAGAATAAATGCACTTATTTTAAGAAAAAATTTAGATTTTTTGCAGTCTGAATATTTCTCAACATGCAAGTTTTATGGTAAGATTAATTTCCTAAATGCATTGCTTTAATCTCGGTAGAGATGCCTGTCTCAATCCTTATCAGAAACATCTTTGACGAAAATAGTTTAACATCAGCTGAACCTTTAATTACAGCTGATGTTCCACCATTGTTCAGACAGAGAATTCTGTGTGTTTTTCTTATGACGGCAATTGATATTTTGTAAACACAGCTTTATCTCTTACCTGTAGAGGATTATCCGACTCAACCCAAAGGGCTACAAATTCCTCTGTAAGCTTGCTCCTGCTTGAACAGAAAGTTTTTTTTAACTGCAGGCTAACTTTAACTTATGCCCTGTGTTTTCATACAATCTTAGTTAATTCGAATTGTTAAATATTACCTATTTACCTATATATTAGGGATGGAACGGTTTATGAAAAACGGTTGAACCAGTTCGGTTCAACTGTCTCGGTTCGATTTGCGTGTGTTGCGTTCGGTTAATACGCTGCTCTTTTTTCTCATAGGCGAAGCGTTTACACTCCAGAGCAGAAGGTGGCGGTACTGCGACCAAAGCCAACCACCAGTAGTAAACAAGAAGAAGAAGCGAAGCAGCGTAGCCGGGTGTAGCAGAAAAAAAATCAGTTGTTGTGGAGAATTGTGTGGGTATGGCGAGTGGGAAAGAACAGGAGTTGGAAGACGCGCCAGCAGCACTTTATAGGTCTGCTGTATGGGACCACTTTGCATTTAGAGTGACCTACGATGACGGCGGAAAGAAAGTTGTGGATAAAAGTGCAACAGTGTGCAAACATTTTGCAACACGTTTTGTTTATGCTAACAGCAACATGACCAACATGTCAGGCTAACTCTGAAATCCCACATACTCCGTCAGCGCTCCGCTCCGCCCCGCTGCGCTCCGGACCGGCTGCGCAAAGCAAAGCCTACAGCCTCCGCTGTGGCTCCCGTCCGCTCCGCTCTGAGGTCCTTGGAGATCGTAGAGAGCATGCGCAAAATGATTAAATTCAAAGCAGCAAAACATGCGGAAATGATCCAAGGTTTCCGCGGATCATTAAAAATAATTACAGTTCATTAATTTTTGGGGATTTTTTCATTAATTTAATAAATTTTTATGGGATTTCGGGGTAACAATCAACATATACCGAACCGAAAACCTTGACTACGAATCCGTGAACCAAACCGAACCGTGGATTTTGTGAACCGTTGCACCCCTACCTCTTTGCTAATCTGTCCCAGTCATTAAAATTTTGCGTATCTGCCTAATTTCAGTGTTATTTTGAACATTTCAGTGTTGCGCTGAAATTATAACTGTGACAAATTACAGCGTGACGGGCTGCTAAACTGAAATATGGTGGCGAGAACCCTATTTGGAGCTAAAGCAGACAATGTGGAAGCTCCTCTATTTGCGCAGCAGGCAGTTTTGTGACTGAGCAGGCGCCCTTTCATGGAGGCCATTCAGAGGCTGGTTATTTTCAGAGTTCAGTTCTTCCCCCTAAGCTACGTTTATACTTGCCTCATTGAACAAACGTGATGCACTCATGCTGTCCCGCCCCATAGCACTACCTCAACGCTAGGTCACGGACCTCTGAATTTTTGTAACTTGGCGCCGACCAAACTCGACCAAACGGCTTCATTCCAAATGGCTGGATTTAAACTTGCCCTAGCCAAACAGCTGAGATAAAACGGCCCAGGAGTTTCAAGTTTAGTTATTACTGTTATTCTGTGACACAAAAATACTGGTGAAAATTCAGGAGGAATTTATTGGCCAGAATTTTGGATAGAAACAAGAATTTTGGTTTAATTTTCCATTGAATACAGAATAATTAGTCTAAAACAAATCAATTGCATGCAAATCGTTAAGCCTTTATTTAGTAAAAAAGTTTAATGTAAATTAAAAAAAAACAATAATAATTGAACTTTATTGATCTCACATTGGAGAAATTTACCTCTGCATTAAACCCATCCCCTTGTGGAGCAGTGGGCTGCCATGGTGGGGTGCCCAAGGAGCAGTGTGGGGTTAAGGGTCTTGCTCAAAGACCCAGAGTGGCAGTCTGTGGGAGTGGGGCTCAAACTCCATGCTCTTACCACTAGGCTGCCGCTCCCCCACCCATGTGGGCTTCACAGGGTAACATACGATGGGTAAACCAGTCTTATTTACCTCTCTAGCCGGCTGTTTATTTCTGTGCAGCTGCCATAAATCTACCTTCTATTCCTTAACAATCCTTTGTTCTGGAATATACTATAGTTTATTTTCTTTTTTTCTGCATTTTCGCTCGTTATGTTAAGACCCCGTTTTTCCCAACTACTGCATCCAACATCTGCGTCAACCATAAATGTGCAAATTGACCTGCAATTTGTTTCACCTGTGATCAACTAACTAGATCTAGACTATTAGATCATTTTTTGCAAGTGACATTTTTTTTTTTTTTTAGCAGAAATTTTAATAAAAAATATGAATGGTAAATAACAAAATCATACCAAGTGAATTTGTTACTGAAAACATTGTGTAAAGTTGTAAATAATGTCTTTGGAGAGAAAAAAAAACAACATTTGGTTATAAAACAAAAAGAGGAGGAGCTGGGGTGTTTAGCCAGCTGGTCAAATATCATCTGAAACTGGTCTAATTTCACTTTTGACAATATAAAAACATCTCTATGTAAAGGTATAAAATGTTGATTAATAGCTATGTTGCATCAAATGAATCATATATTTGATGAGTTAAACTTTTTTCATGTTGTAATCTGCTATCTGATTAAAACCTGCATAGGTTTGTTGGTATACAGACAGTTGTTTTTTTTTTTTCACACTTTTTATTATTTAAATTTTTTCACCGTGGGAACACACACACACCCAGACATCCACAGTGTTGTGTGTTGGAGATAAACATATCCTCTCAATGTGGTTGTTTTAGCTTTGGCCGCTGGGCTTGAAAGGGGTGTTGACATTTAGTGCATGGTTGCACCAAAGCCCCCTAGTGGTGGGGTGCAAGAAATGCATCTCTAACCAGTGTGGGCTGGAACTGGGAATGCCCTGAGGTTCAACCAAAAAATGGCTGGTCAGTTTATAAAAACCGCTGAATTTAAATGTGACCACAGGTCCTGACATTTTACGGTTACATAAATAAAATACCTTTTTTTATGTGTAGTTTGTATTTGTCCTTTTCTTTAGGTGTAGATCAGTGAGACTAAAGAGTTAGGCTGGTATTAATATTCTAAGTTTTGTTTGTGGTCTGTCAGATGCTACAAATATCCTTATATTTATTTCCTTTCCGCATTTTTCAGTTCCATCTCCAGACACGAAGGGGGCACTCCAACATCCACAACACAGGGAAAAAGCGGGACTCATAAAATCTGCCTGGTGTGTTCTGATGAGGCTTCAGGCTGCCATTATGGAGTCCTCACCTGCGGCAGCTGCAAGGTCTTCTTCAAAAGAGCAGTGGAAGGTACAAAGCATCATAGTTGGTTTTCATATATAAATACACAGAAAGCTGATTAAATATGAATATATTGAACACAAGGGTCTTTTGTATGCCTCAGGTCAGCATAACTACCTGTGTGCTGGGAGGAATGACTGCATTATCGACAAAATCAGGAGAAAGAACTGCCCAGCCTGCCGCTTCCGCAAATGTCTGATGGCAGGAATGAACCTGGAGGGTAAAAGGCGCCTCTGAAGCTTTTAAATCACTTATTTATTTCAATGCATAATCTCCGCCTTTATTTTGTTTTTTGCTGTCCTGAAGCTCGTAAAACCAAGAAGTTGAATCGCCTAAAGGGAAGCCAGAACAGCAACCCGCCAGAGATGATGCCTTCACCGCCGGTGGAAGCTCGCTCCCTGGTGCCCAAGTGCATGCCTCAGCTCGTCCCCACCATGCTCTCCCTGCTGAAGGCCATAGAGCCAGACACCATCTTTGCCGGATATGACGGCACGCTCCCAGACACCTCCACGCGTCTCATGACCACCCTGAACAGGCTGGGAGGGCGGCAGGTCATCTCTGCTGTGAAGTGGGCCAAGGCTCTGCCAGGTTAGTGGAAATGTGGAGCTCAAAGCAGAAAAAAAACAGCAGCAGCTGCAGTTGTTCAGCTTAAAACCACGTTTAAGCTGAGTCTTCATTGTCTTAAGAGTCTCTGTTTTTGTTTTTCTTCTTTTTTCTCCCCATCAGGTTTCAGGAACCTGCACCTGGATGACCAGATGACCCTGCTGCAGTGCTCCTGGCTTTTCCTCATGTCTTTCGGCCTGGGCTGGAGGTCTTACCAGCAGTGCAACGGCAACATGCTCTGCTTCGCACCAGACCTGGTCATTAATGAGTAAGCAGCTTGATCCTTATTTGTTGAATCATGCAGTTGGATTTCTCAGTCTTTAGTAAGAGCTTCCTTTTGTTTTTTCTACTTAAATCTACAAAAACCTTTGTGACTTTGTGCCCATAGGAAATCTTTTCTATTAAAAACAGCGAATCATTTCATGTTCTTAAATAAATGATGAGCTGTCAAGATTTAGCAGAAAGTTAAAGGCTTTTTAAAATCAGACAGCCTAAAAGAAACAACAGGGCCTAGCTGTCAACTGTTTTAGTAATCAGTCAATCTATCAATTATTTTTTTGATCGATCTAAAGAAATATTTTATGTGTCGAGTGTTCTGTTTTGTTTTCTCTTTTCTGTATTTTGTTTTTTCTATATATCTCTTCGGGATTTGTTTGTTCATTTTACCTTATGTTGTTGTTTCCTATGGGTTTATTATTCAAAGGGAAATAGAAATAAAACAAAAAAAGTACTGTATTTCACAAAGAAATTTTGATTAATGAAAAGTAAATTAACATTTAAACAAATTTGATATATTGGAAAAACCTTCATTGCACATTTTGAATGGATTGCAAATGAGAAAGTACATACATTTATGTAATTATTTAGAAAACAGATAATTCTTTAATGGTAAAATTGTCTGTAGTTTACACTATATATATATATATATATATATATATATATATATATATATATATATAATTATTGATTCAGTTTTCTTTCTAGAAAATACATCACTGTCTATCTTATTTTTTTACTTTTTAAAGTATCCAATGTTTGTTGCTAATATTTTAATAGAAGATATAAAAAAAAAATAAAAAATGAATCCAGATTAAGGTCAGATGTGACAAACCTCCCCACTAATCCACCATATATCCTACGGAGGGAAACAGTTTCTGTCCCTTTTTGACGGTTTTTTTTGGACCCACCAGGGAGCGGATGAAGCTGCCCTACATGGCCGAGCAGTTCGAGCAGATGCTGAAGATTTCCAGCGAGTTTGTCCGACTGCAGGTTTCCCATGAGGAGTACCTGTGCATGAAGGTCCTGCTGCTGCTCAGCACAGGTCAGTTCCTCTCCATTTATATGTGCATGAAATCGTCTAGAGGAAATTCATTCCCCCTAACTAACTTCATTAGCATACAAACTGTATGCTGCTGTGATCTAAGCTATTCCCTTGTAGATTATCAGTATGTTTAGCATCATTGATCCTCCTTCCCATTTTGCTGCTACAGTTCCTACCAGGATTGCCTTGTCTTTAACCCAGTAAATCTTCCCATCATCTCCAACCAGCTTCCCTGCTGAAGTAAAGAGTCCCCATAGCATGATGCTGCCACCATCATGTTTCCCCATGTAGAGAAGCCATTCAGAGTGACGATGAGTGTTAGGGCCCTGTCCCACCTCGCCGATTTAGACAGCATATACCCGACATACCAGAATCTTCTAAAACGCTGGCATATGCTGAACTTTCCATCAATTCTTTTTAATTTTGGGCATATACATAGAGTATTTATAACAAGTCCAGAACTTATGTCTAACGACAGCCTAACTTCTACATAAGGCACATCAGCGTAATGCCCATGAAATGATGCACAAGCGTCATTGCTGCTCTTGAGGGGAGCCGCAATGCGCCGGGAGGCACCTGGTCTGTATAAGAAGATGTCTTTGATCTCGGTATTAACGTAGTTGCTGTTTATCGCCCGCCCCCCAAAAAAAGAATAAATAAAAAGAAAGGAGGAAGGTTTGCAGTCGCAGCAGATTCAGTGTCATGTCTACTAGGAATTTGTTGGTCGTGGGCGTGAACGCAGGGAAGATGCATCACACTCTCCTTCTCGCTCACCCTATGATGGGGATGCAGTCTGGAGGAGAACTAATGGTTTCCTCCTGTGAACCCCTTTTATACCAAAAGGCTGCCAATACGCCATTATACAGTGGCTGTAAGTTAGAAACCCATTCAGCAGTCGTCTGAGACACATCTGATACTTTGATAGGCCATGGAGATAAGTTATGCATAAGTTATGAGCAAGTTACTCTTAGGTTTTAGATAAGCTAAAAGCCACGACTTATAAGTAACTTACACTTAACGTATGACAACGATCAGATAACTTACCTGGAACTTATGCCCCGCGTATGGCATATGCTGGCATAGGTGGAGACTGCATAATCTCAACATATCCAGCGTGTTTCAGCATGCGCATAACTTATACAAAACATACCCATAACTTATCCAATGAAGGCCAGCGTTCTTGCCAGATTTTTGGTACGTCAGGCATACACTGTCTAAATTGCCATGGTTTGACAGCGGTTTGACAGTGACGTTTTTCTATGTCGAACATAAAGCCCAGTTTTGGTTCTGTCTCTTTTTACCTTTTACCATGTGACCAAATATGAACTCCAGGTTATCGAAGCACTTAATGGGGTTGATTAAAACTGCAGTAAACTGGTCCTTTGGTTTGTTTGATGAGAAAAGGTCTTCTTCTCTTTGATGTATAAGTTCAGTTTGTTTCTGCCTCTGGTGATGACCTCGATTGTCCCCTTGCCCACAGTGCCTAAGGACGGCCTGAAGAGCCAGGCGGTGTTCGATGAGATCCGGATGTCCTACATCAAAGAGCTAGGAAAAGCCATAGTGAAACGTGAGGAGAACTCCAGCCAGAACTGGCAGCGTTTCTACCAGCTCACCAAGCTGTTGGACTCCATGCATGAGGTACAGAACATCTGGGCTTATATGAGCTGCAGAGAAAATCAGCAGGTGATCGTTAGTCTGCAGAACGGTAACGCTTTACAATAAGGTGCACAAAATAGATAAACTACTAGAGATCTAATAAAGAACTAATGGGTAGTTACCAAGGAAACTAATAGTAAATATTAGGGAAGTCATATTTAAATGTCAAATCATTCTGGCTTAAACATGTATATAAATGTCTACTCTATCAGACAATATTGTCCCAAAATTTAGAAAATTTCTATTTTAAAAAAATCCTGTCTTAAAATCTGTGTTTTTTTTTTTTTTCTGGTCTTATGCAGGCCAGTTAGTTATACATCAGCTTGTTCACCTAAATTCGGCCAATCATATATCAACGCTCATCTGTCAATCAAATTTTTTCAGTCATAGCATCATGATTCAAATGTCGCAGCTTATATACGCATAGGTTGAAATAAGAATCATTTACTTTCCCATTGAGTTCCGTCCCAGTGTTCATGGGGATGGACGTCTGTGTCTTCTGCAGGCGTAGAGCTAACAGAACTGGCAGCGTTGCGAGGCAAGGGCTCAAACATGTACGGCTGTAAGCCTTCTACACCAAACCAAGCTTCTGCCGCCCTGGCGTCCTCTTCCACTACAGCTTCGTCTCCGTTTTCCTCCTCTAAATAAAAAAATGGATGACGGAGGAGAGTCATCTACGACCTCCGACACAAAACTCTCCTCCTCTTGCATGTTTCCTCTGTCCATAGCGTTCTTTGACAGCGTCGTTTCTAAGTCACCAATTTAGTGCTACTTGGTCCCAATGGAATTTCCCATTGGGAACCTACTAGCACCAAGTTGCTAACTGGTTAGCAAAATGCTTCCGACACACCGGCCACAACCAAAATTCTTTGCGAACATTCTGCCACAACAGTCCCGCCCCCTTGATAAATGACCAATCACATTCACTTTATTCACTCTTATAAAGTCGGGCACCACTCGGAAGAATTCAGAAATGCAACGGTTGGAACAGCCGCCTCCCTACGACTTAAAGGAACCAATGGGCAGTTACCAAGTAACCAAGCAGCTGTCCTATGGTAGGGCTGGGCTGGCTGTTCCCCAGTAAGCACTGGTTAAGTAGCCATTAGTTACTGATTAGTTCCCTTGGCACTCTCTAGTAATGTACCTTATTGTAAAGTATTACCTGCAGAACTAAGTAAACTATATTTAATCATTCAAGCCTAAACTGGCAGATGTCTCTTACAAGGTCTGAATCATCTTTAGCAAATTTGCTTTTAAATCCACATATAAGCAGATGCGATTAACAAAGCAGGGGCTTTTTAATTTAATATTTATGACGCTCTGCAGCTGCAGCAGGCGCCATCTTGACCTGAGGCGCCCTGTTAGGCTCACAGGTGGTTTTTCCAGTTTATCCATCATTCACCTACAAGGGGACTGTTGTAATACTGGTAAAAGTTATTTCTCTGCAGTCTTTGTAAATAAAACCACCTCGGTCTGGCACGGCTCTTCAATAATTTAGACAGATCCATGTCATGTCTGAGTTTTCTTGTGGTAATTTTATCGAACATGTCACCACTTGACTTTCAGTAACCGCAGAAGCTTCATCCAACAGGGAGAAATAGCTGTGGTGCTGCTAACCTGGCATCTGATCTGATCTGCAGTTTAGAGGAAATAACACCAGACTTTCTTTTAGCGTTATCTCACCCCGATCACTCAGATTTTCTCATAAAATTCTAGTGAAAAGCAGTGAAGTTATGTGTGTTCTGCTTTTTAATGCTCTGATGTCCTGTCTACAGATGGGTAGCGGATTACTCAGCTTCTGCTTCTACACCTTTGCGAATAAATTCCTGAGCGTGGAATTCCCCGAGATGCTGGCGGAGATCATCAGCAATCAGCTACCAAAATTCAAGGATGGGAGCGTCAAGCCTCTGCTCTTCCACCAGAAGTGACTGTTTCCCGTAGCAACAATGCCTTAAACTCCCACCACGTCACCTCACCAGCCCCACGAAACCTCCCCCCGCCCACTCACCCCCCTCGGAAAAGGACTTTACGCCAGCAGGGAGCGGCTTTTTTTTATTTTTTCCTTTTTTAACAGCAGCGAGTATGCATCTCTGTGAAGTAGGCCGACGTCTGGTGAGGGGGGGGAGCGATGCTTGTGTAGGAACCAGACCGCGAGCACAAGACGCTTTTTCGCTGCGTTAAACAGGCTAAGATGTAGTGTCTAATAACGAGTAGGAAATGTTTGTAAAGCTAATGGCAAAGAGAAATAGGCTAACATTAATGTCGTCTCAGGTGTCTTACCTTGAAATTCAGAGCGAGATCTGAAATGGATACAGCAAATATCTCTATGTAAAGGTTCTGATAGTATTTTCTACATTTTCAAAGTAACAGTTTATAAACTTTTTTCCAGGTCGACGTTACCGAAAGAGGTAACCAAACGGAATAACACGCTCTTATTACGTAGGCTTTTTATGTTCCACTTTTAGTTTTTATAGGAGCTTGTAACTAAATGTTTTTCAGTCGCACAAATACAAAAAGAAACTGTTTTCTAGTGATTTTCGAAAGCATATTTTATTTGCTTTAACTATGAACATATAAAGTAACGTGGGCCTGTTAGCTGACGATGGAGTCCTCCCACAAGCAGACCTCTTCCAGGTTTACATGTCAACTAAAGGGAAAAGATGTGCCTTTTTTGCTTCGAATATCATCCAAGCCATTTTTTCTCCTGCTCTACTTCAAACCTCTCATCATCTACCTTCATTATCAGTTGATTGTACTTTTTTATATTACACGCAGTTGCAGCTTTCCTTGTTTCTAGTGGCTGTTTATCTTTACAATTTGGCAGCTCGCTCCATCCTCTGTGTGTAGAAGAAACGCCGTTTAGCCTGCTCCCCTTCCCCGCGACTCCACTCGCACAGACCCGACCAGATCAGTGCGATCCGAGCACTTTGCGCTCTGAGAAAAAGGCTTTAAAGGACTGAGAGGAAATGTTTGATGTGCATCAGTCTTTCAGAGAAGACTTAAGAAGGAAAGTGTGGACTTTCTGTCATGCCCTTGTTGTCTAATATTGGAGAAAAAAAATGTGATGGATACATGCGTTTTTGTCAATCACAAGTTAAAGGGCATGTAATGTTGTGCTTGCAAGTTTGTCGTCTTTGATATTCGGGGGGGTACTAATACCTGTAGATTTATTACAGCTAAAAGTGATTAGAAAATAACCGTCCTCCACCTTTTTGCTTTTTTTAATAACAATCTTTAGGCTTAAATTCAGTCATAAACCCTCTGAAGACTTTTCCTCCGTGCTCTGTATAAGAATTGGCTTTGGGTACTTGTTGTTTTTTTTCTTGTACTGTTTATGTTTTGCTTTCTTTAAGAAATGCCTAAAATTTGGGGAGGAGGAATTTAAGTGTTATGCAAACACTAAGATTGATACTACCGTCATGTCTCTGTCGAACATAAAGCCTAATCTGAGTCAAAAGATGAGAAAAACGAAGCTCCGTCTGGATGAAACAATAAAGGCTAAATCAAGCACCGAACGCAGAAAAGTATAAATTTTGATATGATGAAAATTAGTGATTATGATCAATTCTGTGCAGGTGTACTATGTTGCCAAAAGTATTCACCTACCTTAAAGGCATACTATGCAACATTTTTCAGTTAATTAATGTGTTCCATAACGTTTTGGATGATTAAATGTGTCATTTCAGGTCGAACAAAGGTTTTCTCGGCCGCCCTGGTGGTCTGTAGGGGAAATACCGTACTTGCAATTGCAGGAGCCCTCAGCCCGCACCCACAGGCTCAGAAGTCTCGCAAGAACTGCTACACTAAACATGCATAACAAATAATGTATGAAGACATGCTAAATTTTCAAACTCGAAAATTGGAACAAAATAGTCATTTACCGCAGTAGACATGGTGATTCGTTGCAATCGCCTGTCTGCTAAGCTCAAAACAACGCGCCTGGCTTGACGGAGAAACCAGGAGAACAGCTGAGCATATTTACGACAGTGCACTTTTACTTTCGCCCTCTGGGGGGAGCCTCGCTGGAAAATCAACACCGGTTGCATAGTGTACCTTTAAATTTAATGACATCCTGTCCCCCAATTAACCTGGCAGTAGCCAGATTGATGCGTGTAGAACGGAGTTGAGTTCCACGTCAATCTGGGATGGCGGCCGTTCACTCTGTCCGTGAAAAGGAGGGACTTTAGTTGATTGGGTGACCCACCAGCTAGTATCGCTTTCCATTATTCGCTTACAGCCAACCCTGGTAGCGCATTGTGACATTTCCTATCCAGAAGTGCGCAAAGTGCTTCTCTTTGCTCTTATTTTAAAAGACAAATTGTCGCTATTTTAGCTAAAGCCGAGTCAATTGCGGTATTGACAGGTCCTCTAGCATAGCCATGTTTGTAATGCCGCAGCATGGCCCTTCTGACTGTCGTCATTCCTACATGGCATTGGCATGTCATTGGTCCGACCCGCTGGTCGTTATGAGACGGATGTTTTAGCAGGAGTCTTTCAATATGGATTTGTTGTGAGACTGAAAACTCAGATCTCACGACAATCCAGCTTGCAGGGCAAGTTTATCACTCAATGCCAGCAAAAAAAAAGCAAACTATTCAATGAATTTCTTTGCTTAAGTTTATGGGTCTTCATAGTTAGATGATAAAACCAGAAATGCAGCATCTGAGGTGTTCAGTCAGTTTGACTTCAGGACTCTGCTTTCTTCACACTAAATTTAACACAAATATGGAAGTGATCAGATAATCTGGGATTTTACTCAATACTTTTGGCAATAAAGTGTATATATAGTAGTGATACTGCTGTTGCCCAACATGGCTCCTTCATCGGTGTTTCAGATACTAAAAAATGACAGAGACTTTGAACACAGCAGAGCAGCAAAATAAATTTTTTATGTGTAGATTATACGTCAACCAGCATTAAGCCCAAAAGCAGTATGAGGTGATGTTCCCTCAAGTGTGAACGTCAGGGGACAGAGGAGACGACTTTGAGGGACACCCACTGCTGATTTTTATGTCGATTTTTCAGGACTACTGGTAAAAGACATGACGTATTGATCTGAAGTCTGTGCAAGAACACGAATATGATTGTTTTCCCCAGAATCAATGTAATAATTTTTAAGATAACGGCCACTAGCTTGGTGGCTTTGGTTGGCGTAAATGTCCCACAGCCCCTCTGCTCCTTCTTTACCCCAAATTAAGCTAAACTTTATGTGTGTGTCACACCTTATGCATGTGTCCTTAATGTCCGCTACGTAGCCGTGCTCACCCACCCCCTTCCCCCGCTGCGTTTTCACAGCACTTTTGCCTCAGTTTCCAAATCGCAGTGAAAAAAAAAAAAAGGCCTGTTACTAACCGTATAGGTGAGCAGAATCGATCCTTTTTGATTCTCTGGGAACTTTTTTTTTTTCGTTGTTTGTTGTTTTCCAGTGCCAAACTCCTGTTTGTCGATTTTTCAGGGATGCTGGAAGTTGGTCAGTATTTTTTATCAAATGAACTCAAGCATTAAAGCGTCAACATGGCAGGAGAAGGAGGTCCTGCCTGACTTTTAGTCCCACGCAGTAAAGGGGAGGGCGGGTCTGTCGGTGTGTATGATTAGTGCATTGCAACATTTTATTTTTCATCTAATCTGCGTAGCCTGTTTGTCTGTGTGTCCGCTAACTCCCAGTCTGTTTTTCTTTTATTTTAATTTTAAAGTTTTACTATGAATGTGATATTTAGAGAGTTATTAATAAATTAGGTATGAAATGTTAATGGTAGATGATATATTGTGAGCTGTCAGAAAGAAATGAAATATGTCAAGTGAACAACTGCAAAGTGCTCACTTTTATATAGAGATATAAAAATATGGCAAAGCGTACTGTTTTTAAATGTTTATCCCAAATACATAAAAAAAAAAAATCTTATATTTGTTTAATTCTGCTCCAGAGCTCAGGTTTTAAAAAACAGATGACTTAATTCACACGCTACATGTCAACATCCACTATTCCTGCTGGAGACGCAGAGAACCAAAAGCATACGACAGCTTCACACATCCCTGTCTGCTTCTGTGTTTTTATGCTGTTTTTGTTGTTGGAAAAAGAAAAAAAAAAACAGTTGACAGCATCCGCCGCTCATATGTCTGTAGACTCTAGCAAACATGCAGTTTTTTTGTTTCCTTTTTGGTTTAACCAGAATAGATGGAGAAAAAAACCCATCCTCGCTACCTGTTAGAGGGTTACTTTCACATTCAGTGTATCCAAATCTCTGCTGCTGCTCTTCATCTTTACAAGTATATATATATATAGAAAGAGAGAGAAAAAGTTATATGTATATAAATATATATATATATATCTAAAAGAAATCGCACACTTGCCTCATCTTGCCCAGAAATGTATCCTGTTAACTTTCCTATACATTTTTGCGCACAACTGAATATGCAATAGAAAAGACAGATAATCTCACCTTCACCTCCGTTTTTTCATACTTTCTAACACAGTATAAGCTACTTTCATACAGGGGATTTCACTTGTAACTTTTACGTCTGCAGGCAAGATTTTCTTTGGGGGGAAATATTCAGGAAATTGTAATCCGACTCACGCAAAACCACCTGTTTGATGTTTGAATACATGATGACCAAAGGAGACGGATGACTTATGTCAGCGTAAAGTACGGAGTTCGGACATGTCAAATGTAAGCAGTCCCTCTCCCCGCCCCCAGTCCTGCTCCTTTTTTTTTTTTCCTCCTTTTTTTTTACAAGTGTGTAATACTGTGAATATGATAGGAGTCAGGCTTTTTCATACACCAACTGTTTGTGAAAGTAATCAACCAGCTTGAATCTTAAGAAATTGCACTACCCAAATATTGTTTGAAAGTCTATTTTGTATAAAAACATATGCAGACAGAAACTTTGAGACTAAACAAAGGGCGGATCACGTTTCACTGGTGTATGTTTTCTCGGAAAATAAAAAAAGCTTTTTTTTTTTTTTTTTGGCTTAAGAAAAAAGTTTGATATGTACATATAATCCATTGTAAAGAACATGTGGTGTATTTGTCTCCAGATGGTTTTTTTCAGTACCTACCCTCTGTATTATTTCTCCTCTGTAGCGTGACTCTTGTTGATCTTTTTCCTCTATCGATTAAAAGTCGAACCTAATGTGTGTTCTGCTAACTCACTGATTCTGCACATTAGTTCCAATGTTTTGATATCAGCATTTGTTCATCTTATTAAAAGCATCTCATCACTCCTGGGATCCACTGAAGAGAACCGCTTTTAAAGAGCGATACTCTAAAAGTGCTCACACCTGATCAGGTAAATAATCGGAATCATGTCTGTTTTAAATCAAACACCAACTTCACCTTTGGAATACTAAACATATTTCTTAATTAAACAGTAATGTAAGAAAGAAACAAAATGTATGTCTGGTAGAAGCATCTCTATCCTATAATTTGTCAAACACGTCTCACTTTAATGTTACTTTAGGACCAAAAACTGCATTGTGAAAAGGAAATTAAATTATGCACAGTTAGCAG